AACCTCTCTCTGCCCTCCTGGGAGAAATGGTGGATTTGGGGTTGTTACGTCAAGTGCCTTCCCTGTAGATTTCTGTTGTGCTCCCAAAGATTAACAGTTTCTCTTCTCCCGCAAATGTGGATGCATGGGTGGAACTACCTCACTGATATGTACCTCAGTATGATATTCCTATTTACAGTTCTGTGCATACTTTCCTATTTTGTATATGCCAGTATAGAATTTGTACAGGCAACAAAGAGCAGGTAAATTCTGCAGGTGCTGTTTATATGCCAGAGATTTTTGTGTTTGGGTGTCCAACTTCCTGAGCAGAACTTCCAGAGCAGTTTCTGAAAGCTGCAGTCAGGGTGCTCAGATGACCAGGAGTGCACAGCATCTCCTCTGGTGATCAGACCCGTTCCAGAACCGCAAGCTCTGTCAAATATGATAACCATAATTCTGGAACTGCAAGCAGTTTTTGGCAAGCATTGCATATGAGAAAGATGGGGCCATACTGTGCAATACAGAACTGTAAAGACAACAACAACAACAACAACAGACCTCTAAAAGCATTATAAACCGTGCTGCTTCAAGACAAGCCGACTGCTAACAAGGCGAATTTCTTAGAAAATCTTCCTCTCATAATTTTCAGCTAGGGGTTTCTCAGATCTTCCTCTAAAGCATTTGGCAGTCATTGGCAACAGGCTCCATGGCTAGATGGACCAACAGTCTAGTCCTGTGTGGTAGGTAGTGTCCAATGTACTATTTGTGTCCTTTTGTAGAGTTTGGTGTTCTGATTACTTAATTTTTGAGATAATTACTTTTTTGTTACTGAACTTTTTATCAGACTTCTTTTTCTTTGTATTACTGTGAAACGAACTGCTCCACTTTTCTGCCTTCCTGTTGTTCAGGTCTTTTTCTTTCTTCTAAAACCGTGCCAAGAATACCTCAAGGGATACAATGACAAAGCTGTTTGTACAACAAATCCTGTGTGGTATCTACTTTACATATATTTATATTATTTAGTTTCATTTTAAAACAGGATTAGAATGGAACATAACCTATAGTATTATAACAAACAATCCACACTTTCATACCTAGCATGAAGTTTTCCAGTTACATCTTGATACATCCAAGGCAATTATTTAACAGCATTCCTGGTGACTCGATGTGAGGAGTATGCATTTTCATATGAAAGGAAAAGGGCCAGTGTATACTAGACATATTAGCTCTCACTACTATCTCATTTACCTGTCAGTAATGCGTTTCTCTTTAATAACCCAAAGTAATTTTGCTTTCTTTTCCGTGCTAATCCACCAACTTGCTAGGCTTTTTTCTAGAGCTGTTGGGCTGTGGCTCTGTGATATGCACGTGTCAGTGGCCCAGATGATTTGAGCAGTTCCTGC